TTATTCGCTAAAACGTCGATTCCCTCAAATGCCGCTGTTCGCTAAAACGTCATTCGCTCATGTGATATGGACCCCGGGCAAATGGCAACCATGTTGAATCCGGCTTCACTTCACGATAAAAACGTGCACCTCAGAGCTTGAAAAACTTCGCGATCATTCCAAAAACGTATCGTATGCTTTTCTTGGATAGCCATGGAGCCCTCCTGGCAATTTTCAACGAGGATTCAGATATTTTCCGGCTAAAAAACGTAGAAACTCACGGAGCGAATGGTACAGCTGCTACCGGTAGGCCTCCTCTACAGTGGTGCCACCCTTTAAGAAGATGTGTGGATTTTTTTTTCTTTCAGTGACGGGGGTTTGACAATATAATTTGTACATAAAAAAATCTCCTTGGTCAAACTTTGCCTCGTTTTTACAAGTCAGGTTTAGTGAAAGCCTACCTCGTTTATAATTTGTCTTTTTTTGGCACCTGGGAAACGACAGTAAACGTTTATTTACATTATTGCTATTTATGTATTGTTATTGCTCTGGTTTGCGCTTCAAACATCCTGCGCATGTTCAACATATTAAATGCATGTTGTAGACGCGTTTATTTTAACCTTATAAATATATTTTTCAATGAACTCTCTCTGTATTTAATAGTATTTGTAGTATTGAGGCATATTTGAAGTGTGTTTATTTATATTTACGAATGAATTTCCATAACAGAATTTTAACTAAAATTTCTAAATATATGCTTAATGCTAAATGTAACATTTATTAATTACATAAAAATAATTGGAATACATTTTAAATGTACTAACATAATCTTCTTTTATATAAGTATATTTGAAATGCACTGGGAAAATATTTTAACGCACATACGTTTAATGTAGTTTCAGAAATACGTTTTAATACTAAATAAGAAACTAGGAAATTTATTTTTAGAGCACATTTAGTGTAAATACGTTTGAAATTCATTAGGCATATTTTAAACCAAATATTTTTCGCTAAGGGCCGTAACTGTGCCTGAGAAGTACCCCATACATCGCGTGGAAGAGATGTCTGCCAAGTTCTGTTAAGGGAATAAGCTCAGCAAACTTGACTTGAAAGATGCATACCTACAACTTGTGCTGGACGAAGCATATTCGGAATTGGTGACCATAGACACTCACTAATGTCTGTATCAGTACAATCGCTTGCCATTTGGAGGAGCATCTGGGCCGTCTGTTACCAACGCGGGGTGCACAACGTGTTACAGAGCCTCACGCATATCATCTTATATTTCTACGATATTTTTGTGACTGGCCAGAACGACCAAGACCATCTAAAGAATCTGGGCCAAGTGCTCAGTCGTCTGAAGCAATCCGAGCTGAAGCTAATCAAGGGTTACTTCTTGGCTCCCCATGTTAAACAAAGGGTCACGTCATCACATCTGTAGGGTTCCAGCCAAAGACCGAGAAGATTAAAGCTGTCCTCAAACCACCAAGATCTACGAATGTTAAGACGTCGAAGAACTATCTGGGACCAGTCAAATTAATTTATCCTCGGTTTCTGCCAAACTTGTCCAACGTGCTACCGCCACTGCGCTAGCACTTGCAACAAATACTTCATGGTCCTTAGATTTTGAGCAAGAAATTATTGTTTTCTAAGCAAGGTGTTGCTGGTGTTTAGCAATACTGGCTCATTATGATAAACAAAAACTGTGGTTGCTGATTCGCAATGTTTCGCCATACGGAGATAGGGCTGCCCTGGCCCACCGAGAAGACTCGGGGACTAAACGGTCGATGCGTTTGGTTCTCGAAGTCTTCTTTTGGGTGAGTATACCTACAGTAAGCTCAATAAAGAAGCCCTGGCCCTTATCTTCGGCGTGATCAAGTTTCTGCACCATACCCCTAGGAACAAGACTTTGAAGCTGTCGCAGATCACAAGTGTTTGCTGGGATTGCTTGATGCGGACAAGCCGGTGCCTGAAACATGTTATCTGTGTGTCCTACGCTGGGCTTTGTGATACTTTCGGCATACAGGTACAAGTTGATGTCCAGGCCTAGAACCACCATTGCGAACTCTGATGCCCTGAGTCTGTTACCGCTGTGTGTCTCTCTTTGGGCATCCCATCAAGCGGACAGCAGAAGTGCTTTTGCTCAAAGGTGCATATCCCCGGGTGCTGCTTGCATCCATTGTGGCCAATGGCATTTCAAAGGATTCACCGTTGACGAAGCTTCGAGGATACTTCTGGTCGAGAGCTGAGTTGCATGACTCGAAGCTCAGAGTTGAAGCTATAGGCAGCTCGTACAACCCAACTGAGAGAGCAAGAAAACGGCATACTGTGTGGGGCAAGAGTCGACATCTGTCGGTCCTTACAACCAGATGCACTGCGCCTCCTGCGCGAAGGTCATAGTGGAAATTTATTTTTAAATGAAGGCCGCGTACGGAGATATATCTCATTGGCATCCTTACAAGAGGGCATTATGGCTACGGTGCAGGGATATCACTTACGCTTCAAAATTGACGAGCTGCAGGACATCACCAATTATGCCGTGGCCGTCCCCAGCGAGATCTTGATCTTGCATTTATATTGATTTCGCAGGACCACTGCAGAGCCTGTACCTGCTCATCGCGTTGGGCACTTACTCGAAGTGAATCAAGGCTATATTTCTGACAACGCTGTCTGCAGAAAGCACGATTACTTTTCGGCGGGTGTTACTTGTTTACCACGGGCTGCCTGATTTCATCGTAAGCGACAACGGGCCGAAATTTGTTAGCTGCGACTTTAAGAACTTTCATTGACAGAATGGCATAAGACAGATTGAAATAACTATATCACTATGCAGCAAATAAATCAGCAGAGCGTGCGGCTCAAACAATCAAGTATAAGCTAATGAGAGCAGCTGATGGGACATTCAAGTGTCAACAAGCCCGCTTTGCCTTGAATTACAGAACAACTCCCCATGATTAACAGTGTGTAGACCAGAGGAGCTGCTCGTGGGCAGCAAATTGAAGACTGCGTTGACTTTGCTGCATCCAGCCCTGAGGTCAACCATGTCGGAAAGGCAGTTGACGGAAAATATAAAAATATGGCCCATGACAGGGGTGCTCGATTGGCACAATATGCCCATCGCCGAAATGCGTTTCATGAGCTTAACTTTCTACAGCGAACACCATGGATGCCAGCAACTGTGACCGGCATACCATGTGATCACATCACTTATGCTGCACTGCCAGATGACCGGTGTTGAAAACGCCGCTAAGGACACCTGCATCCTGTTCATGCTCAAGCCGCTTTGTCATGGGACCACCAGGGGCACGTAACCGAGCGGGGCTCAATTACTCTGCCACCAGGTGCATAGCCAGCGAAAGAGGCCACTTCTTTTGCTAACGTAACGCCATCTCAGTCCTTGTCCCCGCAGATGCGACTGTGGATGCCTTTGTCGAAGTTGTGCATCATAGTGTTGAATGTCGGGAGGGAGAAGCTTCCACTACAGTAACACCACAGCTAAGAAAGAGCAGTCAGATAAGAGAAATAGTTGTGCATAATTCGCCTTGAAAAGGGACTTCCGCCGCTTAGTAAGATGGGAGAGTGTGATATAATGTCGGAGATGGCATCACTTGCTATATCAGTCTCAAAGATAGCGCCAATAGAGCCTTCCAACTTAAAGCACCCTCGATCATCTGCAACGGTGCGCACCGTGGCACCGAGGTGCACCGGTGGGCACCGTACGTCCTCAACCAATGGACAGCAACTCTCCCGGTGCGGCCTTTCGTTGCCCCAGCGCCCACCAAGAAAATCGACGGTTCGTCGGGTTTGAGTGCCATCAGGCATTCCGGCCGAGAGCTGGAATCGAGGAGATGGAGGGAATAGCAGACCCACAGTCTATCGAGATGGCGACATTGCGAAAACGAATGCGTCCCGCAGCGCCACTCGATCCACTCCTCAGCTCTTCTGACAGTGAGGACGACGAGCTTCTCACCATTGCCGTGATTGCAGGTGATTGCTGCGGTGGCAAGGAGCGCCCGAAAGTTATGAACTTCGTGGAAAGCGTTTTCACGCGTTGGGATGACACCTAAGATACAGCTATTATCTGGTACTGTTTCTTGATAGTCCACAATGTTCATTTGTGTGGGATCACTAAATCCGCGAGCAAAACAAAAATAAATTGACAGCAGACGGGAACCGCGCGCGGAAATACGCAAAAAAAAACTAACAAAACGCGAGGTGACGCATGGTTGCGGTCGTCGCGTTGCACCGGCGCGGCGCAGCTTGTCCTCGACGTTGCACGGACTTCGCGCTACACGACCGAGGAGCGTTGTACACTGTCCTGGTTTTAGGACAATTCCGGTGCTAGTAAATCGAAGATGCTATGGTTTAGCGTCGAATATTAAACAGTAGTACTGTACATATTTGAAAATCTGTGCTCCTGTAGAACGCCATCTGTAAACACGAGGATATATATTACAATTTTGTTAGCGAGAGGTCACACCAAAAATTTATTGAAACACAAGAAGCTGCTACTGTGTTTGCGAGCAGTGTTGGTACTTACATACGACGGGAAATATACAAAATGATGTTTGAACCTACTTTCGCGTGGCAGAAGTAAATTGCGATGCAATCAGCACTCGGTGCATGCACAAATAGCAACTCTATTAGTTCATATTATTATGTTTAGGCCTATTGCAATAGTTCAGTGGTATTTGTTTATTCAAGCAGATAGTATGAGCTTTTAACTCTTAGATCTATACGCCATTTCAAATTAGAGCCCTGCGTAGATAAATCGCAGCCTGCGGGACCGGATTATTCGGCATGAGGCTAACGCATCAGCACAACAGTCAAAAGCACTTTTAACAGCCGTGGAGTTTTTGGTTGAAGCGAATGCGCCAGCTCTTGCACTGCCTGAACTACTTCAACGTCTTCAGGAGAACTAAACCTAATGTATTCTTGATGAAACGTTTCGCCTTTGCATAGTGACAACACACTTTTTGTTTGTCTTCGCTGTGGCCTGATTTGTTGTTTCTTCTTTGTAGGGTCAACGCCGTTACATTTTGCCTCACTTGGTGTTTAAAGGCATCCTCCACGGAATCGAAGGCGCCATTTTTGTCTTCATCATTGTAATTGCAGCATCCGATGTGAGTCCTTGTTTCGGGTCTGTGATGTCTCTGGATGTATTAGGATGCAAGAACTTACGCAACTATAGCTTCTTGGCATCAGAGGTTCAGCTTATCAACAAATTATACATTTCCAGATATTAGCAAACAAACTCCAAGTGGCGCAGTGTCCTTCTCAGTCTTGGGATGCTCCCAAGGCGTACTGCCCGATGGTGAACCTTGTCACCATAATCTGAACCTCTCGGGGGCACCAGCCACAGCTCTGGCGACTTCGCACCGCAGATTGAAGACGCTAGATATCAAAATTGGCTGCGTGCTTCGTCATTCTATTGAATCCACCCGAAGTAGGAGTATCCCCCCCTCCCCGATAACTTTATCGGGGGGGGGGGGGGGGGGGTGATACTCCTACTTTAAGTGGTGAATAAGGCAGGATGAACCTTAGTCATTCAGAGCCAGGGGTGGATCGTGCTCTTTGTCCACGTGGTGCCTAGGGCAGGGTTTTCAATAGAAATCCATTCCATCACACTCTTGTCTTTTTGTGGCACTGAGCCTGCTCCATTTCAACACCCCTTGGATAGATAGTCTTTGTGCTAAATTTTCTAGGTCACCAAGAGATAGGAAGCGAGCTTTCTTGTCCTTTCCACTCCTCGTTTCCTGCACTTCTACGCCACCTGTGCCTGCTCCGTCATTTTTTGTCTTTCCACCCCTCTCTGCTCCGTGCGCTTTCTCAGACCACCGGCTTCTGCTCTTCCCGTCCCCGCATGCTCGTTTCGTAGCTTGGTCACCAGCGCACTCAGCTTCCACAGCGGAGACCAGGGTTGAATCCCTGGCACAGGCTGCCACTGATTTTTTTTTTTTTTTTTATTGTTTAGCGGTTAAGTACTGACCGACCTACCCATTTAGTGCTTACGCGGCTCCCGAGGTTTATAGGTCTGTAAATCTACCGCTTTGATATCGGTTTTAAAAATGTTTACTTAAAAAAAAACCGTTAAAATGAACACACGGTGGCAGCATAAGAGCAAGTGGCTGGCTTCGTGGCTTTCACGTTAGCGACAGTATCCATGTGTCTGTGTGTGTGTGTTTTTTTTTTTTTTATTCTTTCATTCATTTTATTTATTTCCCCTTAACGGGATTCTGAACCTAAATTTGGATTTCGCAAAATAAGGCCGCAGAAGAATTCAACGGGACACTACGAACTCCAAAACTTCACTCGTACATCGATACCTCAAACGGATGGCCATATTTTTGAAAAAGAAGGGCGGGAGCAAGGGAGTATAGTGATTACACGATTATTTTCAAACAGTTAAGAACGAGGGGATTCGGCTCGCTTCTCTCTTCCTCGCTTCTCTCCTCCTCGCTTCGGTTCACCTGCTCGAGGGGACGAAGCAAAGAGGAGAGGGAATGGGAATTGCGACGTCACATGTCTCGTCGGCCTGGTCGGCCATGTTCAATCGCGAGTGCTTCTTTTCCAAAAATACGGCCATCCGTTTGGGATATCGCTGAATGAATGACGTGTCGGGTTTAGCAGCATCCCGTCTATCGCTCCAGTCTTGTTTTGTGAGCTACAAATTTCGGTTCAGCATCGCTTTTAATTTTTTTAAGGGCATTATACTGTGTGTGTGTGTGTTTTTTTTTTTTAAGCCTAACAGTTTTGTATTAAAATCTCCGTGAAAGCCACACTTTGCGGTATGTGCAGGTGAGTCAATAGGCCAGGTGGACACCATTTATGGGCTAATCGTAACGATCATTCGGCTAATTAAGTAAAATTTGTTAATTACCTTTTTAGTCGGAGCAAAGAGACGAATTGTTATAATCAGAAACTTGCTGAGTGTCATTGAAAAACACACAAAAAATATTTTTTGAGGGATATAAGGCAGGGGCAGTGTTCTATGGCGTTCCCAAAAAACGCTCCATTTGGATGTGTTTCTAGGTTTTGGTTCCTTACGGTAGCTCATGTCTGCGCCGCGATCCTGCTGCCATGAGATTCATTAGAATAGATCTAGAACATGGCCATGGTTAATAGTGCACAGCTGCAACCATACACATCCCCCTTCCCAATATTCTCTTTATTGATAACGATTCTCGCCGGAACTGCTGGACGATCCAGGACTCTGTGGCCGAAATATAATGCAAAGACATCTACGCGCGACACACCCTCAAACCTTTGCCGCGTCGAAAATTCTTCATCGATATCCAAGCGTGAGAAGGCACAGAGACGCAGCACTCGGCGTTCCAAGGAAGCTTTCATCACGCCGCGAGACCACCGAAACTTGCTTTCGACGAGTTCTGCCCTTACACACGACTTCACGCCCATTCCACTCGCTGAACACATCCACACGGCGTCAATTCTTGATCGGTATCCAGGCGTGTGAACGCACATAGACGCAGCACTTCGGCATGCCTAGGGAGCTTTGATCACGCCGTGATACCGGAGAAATTTGCTTTCGACGAGTTATGGCTCTTGCCTGCGGCACTGCGCGTTCGTAAAGATTTCCTTGTGTTTTCAACAGCAAGTCTCACTGTTTGTACAGGGTTTAAAAAAAAAAAAACTCTCTTCAGCGAATGACAACTAACGAGTAAAAAACGAGTCTTCAGCACGCTACCACGAGCCTCTGCAACGCTAGCTAAAACGCAATTTCGCCGCATGCAAGATGGCCGTCCTGTGGCCGCGCTTGCCGAGAGGCAATGCGCGATCCAGCAATTGGCATAGAGATCAGTGGCAGACGGCATTTAAGCTGCGGAAGAACACTGCGGCGCAGCGATACGATGTGCGTGCTGAGGCCATTCCCGCGTGCTTTTCAATGGGCGGAACGCGAACAAAATGAGTTCAAAATAAGGACTTAGGCGCGAAACACATGTACGACGAAACCGTCCGATCCGACGTGCGGACTGCCGGAATGACCTTGGGGGGCGAGGGGGTTCCGTAGCATCGGAGCGCGTTGAAAACCCTCGGCTCCGACCGTCGTATTGCGCGGTCGGACGTCGGATCGGACGGTTTGGTCGTACGTGTGTTTCGCGCTTTAACGCAGAAGGCTGGTTTTCTCCAGCCCTTCATAATTTGACCAGCCTTACACGAAAAGCATGTTTTTTTACCAACCCGCAACGTTTTTTTTTTTTTTGTTTTTGTTCTTTTTGTTTTTTTTTTGTGATTGGAGTTTAAATTATTATACTGCCCGCCCTACTTCTCTTCATCCTACGAGGTAGGCGAGGGGGTGGGTGGCTTCGCGCCGCGACCACCGGGGAGCAGGACCGCGGCGTGAAGAAGCGCTCCGATCAGAAAACGAAACCTAGAAACGCGTTTAAACTGATCGTTTTTTGACAACGCCGTAAAATGCTGCCCTGTCTTATACCTTTCTAAGTGTTGATTTAGTGGTTTCGATGACGCTTAGCAAGTTTCTAAATGGAACCATATGCATATTCTCACTAATTGAAACGTTCATTAACCCAATTTACTTAATTAATCGACTGATCGCTATAATCCACCGGACCGTATAATTCACCGGGGCGAACCGGATCAGTGTAGCTTACACGGCGTTTTTTAAACAAATCTGAAAAGCTTAACACAACACCCTGTATAAGGGTAGATATTTTTATATTACACAAGAAAACTATATTTACACACAAAAAAAACAAATACTTTCAGAACAAGTATTTAAAATGTAAAAAAAAACGAATATTAAAAAAAGTGATTTTGTGCGTGATTAAAAAAGTGAAAGCCGTTTACAAATCCCTGTAACGCCGAATTGGAGTGCAGCTCTTGAGGAGGAGGAGGGGAGGGTAGACCCCTCCTCCTTCTCCTCCCCTCATTCTTTAATATGCCCCGGGGGGGGGGGTCACGTGACCACGGGGGGGTGTCACGTGACTTCGGGCGGGGAGGGGAGTCACGTGACCTTGGGGAGGCGTGACCTGGGGGTCACGTGACCTTGGGTGTCACGTGGGGGTCACCTCAAGGTCACGTGACCCCCAAGGTGACCCCCACGTGACCTCAGGGGGTCACGTGACCTAGAGGGGTCACGTAACCTCGGGGGGTCACGTGACCTTGGGGAAGAGACCACGTGACCTCGGGGGTCACGTGACCTTAGAGGGATCACGTGACCTGGGGGTCACGTGGGGGTCACCTTGGGGTCACGTGACCTTGAGTTGACCTTGGAAGGGGTCACGTGAGATTGGAGGTCACGTGACCGGGAGGGGTCACGTGACCTTGGGGAGGAGACCACGTGACCTCGGGGTTCACGTGACCTCAGAGGGGACACGTGACCTTGGGATGACCTTGGTTACGCCGACGGCGACGCCGACGCCGCTCAAGCCGGGAACGGGCCCCTAAGAGCTGCGCTCTAAAACAAAACAGAAATCTCCGTGACGTCACGTGACCCCGGTGACGTCACGTAACCCCCGCGACGTCACGTGACTTCGGTGATGTCACGTGACCCCTGTGAGGTTACGTGACCCTTGTGAGTTGACCTGACCCCACTGTTACGGCGACGCGACGCCGCTCGGAGGGACAAGTAGCACGCAGGATGAGGAGGTGAGGAGGAGGGAGGAGGGGTACACCCTCCCCTCAGTACCCTTACCTCCTCCTCCTCCTCCTTATGAGCCGCGCTCTAGTTCGGTGTTACAGGGGGTTGTAAGCGATTTTCTTTGTTGCGATAATTAGTAATTTTCCAATTACTTTTCCATTAGAGCAATTTCTACTCTACTGAAATTACTTTTGAGGTCAATACTCAGTAACTTAACCTAATAACTTTTTTTTAGTAACTTGTACATGTCTGGTCTCTGCTAAAGTTTCGTGAAGTTTCAATGACAGTTTGGTTTCGCTCCCACTTTACCATTTGAGAACGCGGACTGACGGTTATGCTTTGACCTAATGTCCGGCCAGCTCGATACATATGCCGTGAGGGCGGTATTTATGTACCGGTCACCTTTTGAAGATATATAGTTTGTTGGATTAAAATCGAACATTTTGTATATTTCCTATACAATTTTTCACTCGTACGATGTTCTCTAACCGCAAGCTTTTATAATGGTATCCTTTCTCAATGTTTTAAACAAAATCAAATCTGGTATTTTGTTTTGGCACTACATGTACAGACGTGAATAAAAGTGAAGTTTCACTACGCCTTCTAGAAGCACAAACTTCATCTGCTTGTACATCCCAAAGTTAAAACGTCCAATAAATTATTGACATGCCCTTTCAACTTCTCTATAGAGGGTGTGTCCGAATGCTATTAAGGCATAAAAAGAGCCTACAAATGAGCAATGAATGAAGTGCGATTAAACATTTTACAAATGTGTTTTTATCGGGTACACTTATTATACCCAAATTTTATGAGCGGGGGTTTCTTGAAAACATATGAAATCCAAAGGACTCCTGTTATTCTTATTCGCAGAGAGGAAAACAGAGACAAACTATCTGGTTGACGTTGTTACTCATGAATTGCGCAACATGGAAAAAAAAGTTTCAAAACGTTCTTAAGTGGAACGCCCAAAAACAGATCCAGCAGCTCCGAGTGTGTTTTGTGCCATCTGTCAGTCAGCGTCAACCAGACGGTTAGTTTCGTTTTTTTTTTTTTTTTTTTTTTTTTTTGCATATAAATAGCACATTTACATCTTTCTAATTTTTTTTTATTTTTTTTTTTACTGAAATTCACATTAACGAGTCTTTACTATGGCACATGCGTTCCTAAAGACATACTTGTGGAAAGTGTGATGGGCTCCGTTCATCAGCCTAGTTATGAATTGTTGTTTTACGCCTGACTGTGCTTGGCAAAACCCGGCGGAACTTATAAGGTTCAAGATAAATCACCGACCACTGATGTTAATACCTAAAACGCTGAGAGGAAATCGAATTCGCGTCAAATGTGGCCCGTTTCGTTCTCTTGTCGACACGCCATGTATGCTAATTCTGAACGACATTTCCCGTCATAAAGCAGAAACCGATTTGCTTCATAGCCGCGTTCTTTGTGTTACACCGGCGTAGCGTTCGTCCCTTCCCCAGAAGTAGCAACATAAAATCTCTCACCCCAAAATGTCATGAAAGCAAGAAGCACCTTCTCATTGCACAGTTGTTGATTACTTGGCAAGACAATTTGATTACCCTGTGGCCATAAAAATAGAGAATCTGAATTCCAATATATTAAAGCACCGCCTAAATACGCCTTGACTTGCTTTGCAGAATTCACAGTGGCTATTTGGACTCGCTGGTGCATTCGCCTTTTCATTGGCTCTTGGGGTAAGTGCTGTCTCTCATTTGTTTTTCGATAAAAATTGTTAAACAGGAAGCAAGTTTTAGTTGGAGAGTGTTGTAACGATGAGAGCAAGCAGTTGTCCGCCATTTTGATAATCGGATGCTAAATGTGTAAGACAAACAATAGGGTGTGTCTTTTGGACGCCCAAACTCTACCACGCGTTCCTTGTCTATTCTCGAGCTATGGCAGTGCGTGCACGAGCGAAGCGCGTGACACGCGGAAGCTTTATCGAAGGTCGGAAGCTCGTGCTGGGGCTGGTGTGACTGACACTCCTCCATGCCGCTCTTACCTTGTCAGAGACTGTGGTGTTATCACAGAAGAAGTGAGGTTTAGTGGGGCACAAACGCACATCCTTCGATATTAGTGTATATCGATGTTGTTACACGGAAGTTCCTCTAAGCTGCCTGTTAGGTGAAAAAACTAACAAATCGTAACTTTTATCTCCCAAGTTCAATAATGCATTGAACGCAGCATTTAGACAGTTGTTGAAATAGTCGTTCCGGGAAGTGAAGAACAGATTGCTCATTGTTTGCCCGCAATAATTCGCGGGGAAATTGGTGTCACGTAACTTGACGTCAGGTAGCGTCAAGACATGGTATTACGCGACACCACGAATTGATATCTTGACGTCACGTAGCGGGGCCACGTCGCGTGAGGTGAGATCACATGACGTCAATTTCTCCGCTCAATCTCCGAAGAAATTGAAGTATCGTGACCTAACCTCGTGTAACATAACTACATGACGTGGCAGGCACCTTGCCAGGTCGTAGTGTCACATGGCGTGAAATGTTTTCCTAAATATTTTGAGAAATTGAAGTCATACGCGTAACAAAGTCAAGCGACTTCGCCACGTGAAGTGACGTCAGGTTGTCACGTAATATCATGACGTTACACGATGTCAATTTCCCCGCTAAATTTACTGTAAAAACGCACGGACGGACGGGCGAACTAATGTCTAGGAGTAGGGGCTGCCGTTGAAAAGAATTCAACATTTGAGAAGGTTAAAGAACCCAGGAACATCGGATTTCGCCTGTCACGATGGACCTTTTCCGAGAAGCGTTCTGCGCACACGCCAGCGCCCGATGCTAAGCGGCGGAAGTCGGCACGAAATATCGAGGAAATTCGGAAAGAGTATGTGGATCAGCGAGTAGAACACGTGATTGAAGCATGTATATCATTACCTTAAACAAAAAAAGAAAGTGGACGGACAGAAAACATGACGTTTGGGTGAACGCCACAAATACTCCTGTTTAAAGTCGCGTTGGGCACGCGCCACAACTCAGAGAGCGAAGAAACTGGTAGCGTAGATCCCATTATCAATTGGTAGCGCAGGTGGGTCAGTTCTTAAATTTTTAGTTCGTGCAGCCATCGGTATGTGGAAAAGGTTCATTGTAGTAACTCTGGTGCACGCCGGCACTCCTTACGTGCTTCACGATTTTTTTTAATTGACTAATTTAGTGGTTTTCATGACGTTCTGCAAGTTTATAATTTCCACTATAGGCTCATTTTTACTAATTGAAATATAGTTCAAACATTTAAGTTTATTATTTTCCTTATCGTGAATATTAGATCCCCGTATTAAGTCCCCTTGACCGTATTACTGGCCTGCATAGACCGCGCTAGTGTACCATCAACTGATTTTTTTCTTAAATAAATATGTTGAAAGTAAAATTAACAATTCGTATATCTTATGAAAATATTCCGAGGATGCGTAAGCACTTCTTACGAGTTGTGAATGCAAAAGCATGAATGCCATTCTTCCGCTCCCTTACTTAGTCCGCGGCGTACTGGCGTGGACGGCCACGTTTCGCTACTGCCGATGTTGCGGCCGCCGACGATATAGATGCCTCAGGCGCCGCCATGTTCCTCGGCGCCGAGAAGAGCAAAAGCGGCTACAGCCAACGCCACCGGCCTCCCCCCCCCCCCCCCCCCCCCCCTCTCCGGCAACGCCGGACACGAGAGCGGCCTCCGAGCGCGCGCTTGGGGGGGGGGGGGGGGGGGGGGGGGCGGTCAGCTAATTTATTTTATGACAATATTTTACAATTTAGCCGTCCATCCCACTCTTCCATTATTGTCACCGACAAAATAAGAAGGGCAGACCGCATTTATTCCGAACGCCCGGCCTCCTGCGCGCGCCTCATTCTTTTCGCCGTGATTCTGGTGCGCTCGCGCGCACGAAGTGCATGAGACGACGAAGCATTGTCCGTCATCTTTTCATCAACTACAGTGTACTAGAATACTGTACATCAATGCCATTCTTAAAGTCAGTAATGACCAAGCCTTCATAGTGTGTGCAGATGCCATTGATTCAACGGTTGCTCAAGTCGGAAACCTAACATTCCAGTTACTGTACACATGGATTAACTTAAATTTCCTGCATATTAACACATCTGAAACTAAGCCAGTCTTTTAATACCCAAAATTAAATTTAGAATGTCTGCTGCAACCTTGTAAAAGGGCCGTTTTTGTTTGAAACATTAGGAAATTGAAAAGAAATATTTGTACAGCATTGAATGGTGATGAATTGAAGGATATAGCAAAATATATCACAAGTGCAACAAATTTAACTTTAAGCAGAAAGTTCTTTCTAAAAGACCACGAGCCTGGAAGGCCCCTTCGTGCGGTCAATAATGAGAGTTGTTTCAAAGTTTCTACAACGAGGGTTTAGTTATGCAAGTTTAGGGAAGTCGCCATACCTTAGTAATTCAAATTAATCCATTGGCATTTTGTGGACTCATCATGGGATGCGTTGTGCGGTGTTAACGATGGATAGTAAGGACTTGTACTATTCCTTGGAAAAAGACACGGTTAAGGCAGATAGTGAGGGAGTCATTGGAGCTGAATCTCGTTAAGTTTCATTCGAGCTCAGGTATATCGGTTGAACGCTTCTTAACAATCCTTGAGTATTATTTGAAATCATTGGCAGTGGAGTACGAAGGAAGAAAGTATAACAAAAAGAAGGTGTTTGTATAGGGTCATCAGTCGCACCGATCTTATTAGAAATTTACCTAATGTCATTGAATCGTGTAGTGCACGATAATTTACAGGCGTTGTCAGCGAGTATGACAATAGTGAGAAGATATGTAGATGAGAAGCTGGTGTGGTACATTTATGGAAAGTCTATCAGAAACCATAGAAGATGTGATTGCGTCAACGGCTCCAGAATAATTGAAGTTTACAGTGAAATCACCGGAGAAAGATCCTCTATAGTTTCCACATTTTTTTGTATTCACGGGAATCAATGGTTAGGTTAGGAATATGAAAAAGGAAAATCGAAAAAGCGGTTTTGCCAATATCAGTTGTCATTCGATGACCGTAAAGGCTAGGGTTGTAAAGCCATTGTTCAGAAACACTTTAGAAAGGTCGTGTGGCCATCATATCCCTGAATCGGTAGAAAGGCAGTGGAAGAAGATTATTGGTGTTGATATGATGACAGTTTTATCGAACGGCATTACGAATTGTTTTTCAGAGGCAGGAGAGAAAGGAAACAGAAATTAAGGAACAGTTTTACTGTAATCTTATATTTTTATGAGATTTCTCACAACTTGAAGGCACGTGCGATGCAGTTTGGCGTGGACAGGGTCTTTAGTTCAGTTTTGAGGTTAAGCTAATTGACGACATTTCAAACAGTAATAAGTGAGTGCAAAAAAAGCCCGTCGGGAAAAATCGCTATGTTGCGAGAATGCTGTTGTGCATGAAACACCATTGGAGTGTGGGTTTAAGTGCGTAGGACAGACGTCACGCTGCATCAGTGACAGATTAAACGAACTAAAACGAAATGTGAAGAACAATGCAAAATATTCAAAAAAATAGCGAAACATATCCATGAATGTTACAACTGTACGGAGCTCTGGGCGGAGACTGAAAGTATACGCGAAAAGAGAAACGATGTAACTCGCTCTTAGCCCTTTTCCTTATTCCTTTCCAAGGCTCAGCCACCATGTTTTACAACACAGGCGTCTGCCTTTTTCCGCGGCTGGAATGTTCTTTTCAGCGCGTGTCTCGCGCATCGAGTCTTCTTTTTTATTATTATTTTATTAACCAATCTGCGGGTGTTTGCGTCCCCACGGTGGAAAGCGAACACCCAGGAGGTGAATCCAACTCTGGCGTATAGTTCGAATTTTAGGGTCACGATACACAGGTTCTCCAAAAAAGAATTTATTAAAATCATATTAGTTTTATTATTTCACTGACCTGATAGGGCCAATACGGAGCTTTTTTTTTTTACAGATATACTTCTTTGTGGTGGTGCTGTCCTACTACAAGCAACTGGGACTTCCAAAGCAAACGGTGACACCTCCGGCTCCACCCCAAGTGCAACAGACTACTCCAGCTCCAGTGATAGCGTTGCGCGAACAAAAGACTGTCGTGTATACCCTTAAGGTACAGGAGACTATGGCCGTTCATTGCGTATGACCGTTATACAGTGTTGGCGGTAAAGCGTTACGAGTAACGGCGTTACCGGTAACGCGTTACTTTTTTTGTTAACGTAGTAACGTACTCGTTACTTTTCCAAAGAAGTAACGGGTAACGCACTTACGTTACTTTTTTTGAGTAACATGTAACGAAATTACAATACGTTACTTTACTTCCAAAAACTTTAAAAAATTAAATTTTAATTGTTTTGTGTGTTTTTAAGTGCTCAGTCATAAATTCCTTAGTCAAAAAATGCCGCTGCCTTCCACTTTTCTCTGACGTCGGTGCTCGTCAGATTTGACGGCACACGCCACCTGCCACTGGTTTTCTCCCGCGGCTCGTTGACCTCGCTACCGCCGTCGCCTCGGCTGGAAGGCCAAAAAGGTCCGGCTTCGGGTGGATTTGGGAGATTCCTGCGTCGAAGCCTGCGTTTCGCTTCCCGCTGGGAAATAGAATGACACCTTCGTGTCATTCCCTTTCCCGTTTTCCATGTTATAAATCAGCTTCATATATACTTACGCGTTTCTTCCTGTAACTATTCGGGTGAAACTTTAAGAGAGGGTGATTAAGTTTCCGCATGGACATATTTTAGCTATGGCGCTTACGCACATATCAAGCGTCGAAACAGCAAATTTTTTAGTTTGTGAATAAAAAGTAACGCAACAGTAACGTGCGTTACTTTTTATCAATAATGGTAACGGTAACGGGTTCCTTTCATTTTGAGGTAACGTAGGTCGGTAACGCGTTACATTTATTTGCAAGTAACGAGTAACGTATTTAGTTACTTTTTTTCGGTAACGCATACAACACTGCCGTTATATAATATTTCTGGCGCTCTAGAATGGACTTTGGGTTCACAATGGGTCTCTTTGCTTACAGCGCGTAAAGGCAAGCTAGTTTTCTTTGAAACAATTGATTTTTCTTTTTTGGGGGGGGTTTGCCACACTGCGGTTTGTGGCGTGATGTTTTGGACATACCCATCTTATCTTGGATCTTTGCATCGAGTTAAGCGTAGCGTCTACATGGTCAAAAATGCGCACGAATAGAAAGGAACAGTGAAGAGGGAAAAGAGAAGAGACAAACGCAAACTCACAGCTCACACCTCCGTGTGCTCGGGTGCCTCTGTGTGAGTATGGCCTCGGCTCGAGCTGATACCGCGGGCTGTTCATTTTTCTTCCTTCAATACATCGAGTTGTGAGTTTGCGCTTGTCTCTTCTCTCTTCCCTTTTCACTGTTCCTTGCTATTTGTGCGCAATTTTAACCATGTTCAATCATTACCAACTCGCCCAACTAACCACCTTACTTAGTGGCTACTGTTGGCGAATTGCTCGAGTGTTAAGGGGGTCCTGCAAGGACTTTTTTACTGGTTTTTAATTTGCACAGAACCTGAGTGCACTGAAGGTAGTAACTTAATGAAATTTTTCTTTTCTCGAGTTTCGCTTTATTTCAAAAAGTTATGAAAAAATAAAAAAACGAAAAGAAGCAAAAAGTAACCTCCTTCATGACGACCTTGGTCGATTGAGTGGCCGTGAATTAGAGGAGGGGCAATGAGCTCAGCAAGCGCTCACGGCTGCCGCACTCCGTGTCGACGGCTCGAGAGGCTCCACTAAAGCATGTTCTGGATAGGCTGTATGAAACGGGCATCCAGGGCGGCTCGCATTGTATTTGCTGCGCGATTAAACACTAATTTGGCAGGACACTTCGTTGACCACAAACGACAGAAAACACGGGGAAAAGATCAACTCAGAACGGGATATACTCCGCGCTGTCATTTCGCCAAACGGCCAAACCGCAAGCCAAACCTGCCCGCTAAAGGCCTTCGGAATGCTCCGAATGGGTCGGATCCTCGAGCCGTATACGACCGCAGCGCTGCCGCGTATATCCGGGACCTTTCTACGCTCTCCGCCCATCGGTGCCTGAACCCACTACCCCTTCCTAGTATGTGCCGCCTTTTCCACCACTTGATGGCGGGTATGTCAACGGATCATTTCTTGTTGCCGTGCTTTATAAACTTCATTTGTTCCTTTTCTGATCTAAACTACTGAACAAACACTGCTTTCATAAATATTTGAAACGGTTCGCGCCACTCATATTTTGTATTTCGACTAAAAAGAAGCTTTTCGCGCCTCTGACCAGTAGTAAGCTCAGCACCAAATACTTCACATATTGCGCGCTTTTGGCACCGCGGGTCGCCCCCGTAGATGGGGGAGGCTTTCGCGTCGTCCTGTTAAATATGACGCACCGATATTTAGTTACTCTCTCCGTGCCTGCTGGCTTGCCCGAACACCAAATGTTGTAAAAACCGTACAAAAAAAAAAAAAAAGAAAACGGCAGACGTTTAAATATGATCGCAGGGCCCTTTCAGGCTGATTCACATAGTTCTGACTGCTTCCGACTGAAGAAGGTTAACGAATGGCTGCGGCGCAGTTGCTTGTAATAAAATGAAGTTTGTTAACCAGACGTCATACTTATTGTGAAGTGTTAGGCCTGCGTCAGGATGTAGGTTTATCATCGTGACCTAGGTACAGCCTAAGAGTTCGGCCACATTACGTTGTTAGATTTGGTGAAGCACTTGCTTGTCATACACCGTAATAAAACCCTGGTAGCGGTGACAGTACACTGCAAACGAAAATTAGCCCGGATGGGAGTCTTAAAGAATAAGATGCCGATTAAACTCCCAAGCCTAAAGCATTCCCTCCCGCACATGGTAGTATAAAAACTAGAAACCACCACTTTACTCTGGTCGCTAAGGGACGGGGTATAAAAGCGACATCACCTGCTTTTACTCCCATTTTCAACTGGAGTTCTTGTATGACAACACTCTGCAAGACGAAATGGAAGTTGAAAATACTCCCATCCGTCCACCCGTCTGCGGTAGATCGGCCGCCATTGACGCAGCCGGCGTTTCCCTCGTCCCGCTCAGTCCTGGCTCTGGCACCAACGGGAAATTTCCCGTCGTGGGAGAGGTCATTATAATAAGTCCAAAGCGTTTTGGAGCTGGTTTTTGTCCAAAATCCCGACGCCAGCGAACACCAAATATTACACAAGTGAAAAACCAATCACAAAATACGAACTTTTCGCTCAATCTGGCGAATACCCAAAAGTTGAGGGTACTATGGTGAAGCAGAAGACAATCCAGCTCTTTTCGGGCAGCCTCAAGTGTAGTGCAACCATTGTGTGTTGTTTAAAGGCCCTTTCACACGATGCATTTTTCTGGCGCATCTTGACTCGCGAAACGAGTTTCGTGAAATGGATTCGCCGTCTGAACAGGACTTAAAAATGCGCGTGTGCAGCTCCCTGGATTTTCACGAAAAGCGCAGCCAACGGCCTCTCGAGAAAGCTTTCACGTGATCTCAAAAGGATACGCGAGCCGTTGGCGGGGCTCAGTGGCGGATTAAGGGTGGGGGGGGGGGGGGGGGGGCGGGAGGGGGGGGGGGGCGGTCTGTCCGGATGTTCTGACCCCCTCTTGATATGCGCATGTGTAAATATTTAGGGCGGGAAAACAAAGGGGAGGAAAAAAGTAAATAAACACGGCGCGATCCACGGATGCATACGTAGGTTTGTTTTCTTGGTATATACGAGTTCGGGTGCGCACAGGTCGGCGGCGCGTGGCACCTTCAGTGGCGCGTGGCAGCTTTCTCAATTTTTGTGCACTCGTAGCGACGATCGCGAAGATTGCACGTCGCCGTCAAAAATGCTCTATTGGCGTCGTCAACGAGCCCGGAAACGATGCCCGACGGCGGTGACTACCCAGAAGCCCACGCGGGAGCGCCCCATTCGGCAATTCGGGGCAGCTGGGGCCAGGGTGCTCGAGGCGCTCATTTCTGCGATCTGAACCTGCAATTCTTGCCGCGTGTCGTCTGCCGCCACGTTTTCCCGTGCTGGTGTGCATTTTTAACGTTCGTGCGCTCGACTGGGCGATTGTGCGCGTGGACGTGGACTGCTCCGAGGATGTGCTACCGCCGTTAGGCCTATCTGTCTAACCAGCTCCGGCCCATAGGCCTAACAGCCGGTGGTGGTGGTGGTGCGCCGGTTAAAGCGGGAAGCTCCATGACGCGCCAAAGGTAGGGTTAATTAGAATTAAGTATGACCTAATGTGTGTGCTATATATTATTGTGTGCTAGTCGTACGGATTGGCCACCGCTCCGATCGAAACAAGCGCCATCGAATGTACGGGGACGGTGGACTCAGTGAAAAATTTGAACCATTAGCCGGCCAGAAATTTTCATCTGGAGTGTCTTGGCTAGGTAAACGATGGTAGCGGTACGCGATGAAAGTGGAACTGAATTTTTGCATTGTTTGTAAAGGTTCTGTGAAGTGCGCTACAATTTCAAACGCGTACGTCGCGTAATTAGGTTTCGTCCGCTCAATTCGGTGTCAGTTTCTTGAGTCGGCGTGGTGAAAATCTACTATAATAATAAGACTGGCCATCTGTCAGAAAGAGGTCGCTGTGGAATATCTATTTCATCGAAGTATTCCGGCGGAATCACCAGAGTCGCTTGGCACGACTCCGGCAAATCTGCCAAGCAACTAGTTTCGACAAACGCGATAGTGTGATTTGTGTTTTGTCAGATTTGTGTGAGATTTTGAAGAAAATAAATGCTGGTCTGCATTCCTTATCCCCCAACATTTGTTTGTTTTCGGTCTGCTAACCACTGCCCCAAATCATTGTTTCGAAGTGTGTCCAAACCATGAGAACGAAAAGGTACCGGCTGGGAATCCGACGTACGGTACGTGTAAAGACGACGCGGATGCCACGAAAACACACATGCTCAAGGTGGCAACTCGTCGGGGCGCGCTGGCTGGCCGCGCTTGTAGAGCAGACAGAGGCGTAGCCAGGTCGCGTTCAAGGGTCGAAACACCCCCGAAATTGCATGGTTTTCCTATTTCCTCCCTTTCCCTTTTCCATTGCCAGCTTTTTTCATTCTTTTTTTTTTTTTTTGTATTGTGAAGGCATGAAAAGTCCTATGTGCTCCCCTTTCAGTTCGACAACCCACTAC